TTTTTTTTTTTTTTTTTTTTTTTGACAGTTGTTCCCTTGTTAGTCCTGAACAGTTAAACTGCCCGCTGTTCTTCAGAAAAAATACTTCAGGTCCCACAAATCCTTTGGCTTTCCAGCATCTTTTGCTGAACCCCTGAACCCTTTCCAACAATGACTGTATTATTTTGAGATCCATCTTTTCACACTGAGGACAACTGAGGAACTCATACGTAACTATTACAAAAAGTTCAAACGCTCACTGATGCTCCAGAAGGAAAAACGATTGTACAACTGTAGCACAATCTAATGAATAATGCACATGTACATGCACTATTGCCTTAATATAGTAAAACATAAACACAGAATCACAGACCATTAAATATAAAAAAAAATCATGTAAACAGACGTACAGTGTTAAGCTTGCAAAATGTTATCTGTAGAATACAGTAAGAAATTAGTAATTAATACTTTTGTTAAATTGATCAAAAGTGACAGTAAAGACATATATGTTACAAAAGATTTCTATTTAAATAAATACTGTTCTTTTGACCTTTCTATTCATCAATGAATCCTGGGAAAAAAATGCATCACAGGAATAATTTACAAGTAACAATCCCTTATTCCCCTCATTCCCATATAGCTCCAAGTGTTTTCACATCTGTTTGAGCAGAAGGCACATTGGTTTCAGGCTCACTTCTGGGGGCTCCTCCATCCGCTGCTGAAAATTAGTCTCATCATCACTGGACATTATTGTTTCTATTGTCCTGGCGCATCTGTGGCGGCTGTGGAGTGGAGCCCTGCATTTCATCCTAAACCCAATGGGCCCGACTTATTTACGCCCCTAGGGCCGAGCTTTGGTCAATTTGTCAAAGCTCACACGGGCATCGGGTCTGCTTTAGGCTTCTCCTTCTTTTTATATATTTAGACATCCATCAATTAAGGTGATGGAAAAGATGTGCTACGCTGGTGGAAACAACCCGAGACCATGCTACCGCGACTGTCAAGACTGTCTCGCACGATGTTTAGTGTCCCCGCCAGCAGCAGCAGCCGCGAGCGTGCCTTCACCACATTTGGAAGAGTTATAAAGAAACGAGGACTGGATTAAAACTAGAGCTTCCCTGAATAACAATTTTTCTAGTCAACTATTAGTCATTCATTTAAGCCATTGGTCGGTTAATCACACATTTACATTAATTACTTAAATACTAAACCATAATGAGCCTTTACTTGGATAGGCTAGCTATAGCCTTCCGCATTCAAGTGCATACATGCTTTAATTGCAGGAAAGCACAGGCAAAATAATGACTATGAATGTGTCAGAAAAAAATAGCTGGAGATATTTTTATTATTTATTAAAACTAGTTTTTTCTCAGTCAGTGTGTGGACTGCAAAGATGAAGCTGACGATGTTGAATCGCCATCTCTGCAGTAGGCCTACAGTGGACGTGCCTTCAGAGAGATACACCTTTCATACGGATTACATAATCAGAAAGTATTTGTTTTCGATTTGATCATAGAGCCTGTACGCTGTTTTGTTTCATTTTTGTGACGCGCTCCAGTCGGAGACTGAGACAGCAGAAAGCACATCCTGTTTGTTTTCTTAAATTTTACAAAAACACAACGTTTTGTTGATATTTTCAGTTTATACTCTTAACTGCATGAGCAAAAATGACGCCGTATTGTAAGTTGCTTCAGGAAAAAAATTATATCATGCTGGCGTCTCCATGTTCTGTATTAAAGGGTTGCATGTGATGCGTGTGATGATGCTGACGAGCCGACGTTCTACCGTAAAACCCGGATGCGCTGCACCTTGTTTACAAGCGTGGTACTCTCGTGAATGGTGGAGGAGACTGACCCGGAAGATAAGAAATAGTCGTTATTTTTGTTTTCTTCGTGCACAAAATGTATTCTTGTAGCTTCATATAATTACGGTTGAACCACTGATGTCACATGGACTATTTTAACGATGTCCTTACTACCTTTCTGGGCCATAAAACATTTCAGTTGCTTTGCTGTCTATGCAGGGTCACAAAGCTCTTGGATTTCATCAAAGCTCTCGGCACTCATATAGACAAGTTATTACCCATTAATTATTCTAATTCTAAATGAACTTTGCTTCATAGTAGTGCCTTTCCCCCAATTTAGTTTGGGGGAAACTTTAGTTTCAAAAAGTACAGGGGCACTTTTGTCCAATTTGGGGGCTTGGGGCAAAAATGTCACCATCAGACAAGGGCCAGACAAGGGCCTAAGCATCTCAGGCCAGGGCCGGGCTAGGGCCTAGATTTGAGTCCCGTGCAGGGCTTTACTGTGGAGCATCACCCCCTTCCTCTAGTTGAGGAGCTTGGTGCTGTCCTACAGCAGGATGCGGCGGGTCCTGTTGCCCACCTAGCTGAGGCAAGAAAACTGCTTGATGTATCGCTGCTTGAGCACCTCCATACATGAACATCTGAGAGGAGCAAAGATGCCTTAGTATGATAACAAATAAATGATCCTACAGTATGTTTGCTGTTCACAGCTCTTACAATGATGGCGAGTGCAATGATGAGCAGCACAGGTAACTGAAGAGTGACTGGTAGATCCTTCAGCAGGGCTCTGAGGAACTCACTGATTCCCTGTCCAATTTGCTTCAAGGGGTCCGTGATGAAACTGGTTATGGTGAACGTGATGGCCTAGAATAAAACCCCACAAATCTATTATTAATGCATTTCACCTCTGGTTACAACTCTCATAACAGCTTTTGGAACAATCAGATATCTGATGAACAATAACAATATAATAAATAATATAATAAATATTAAAACTAAACAGTTTATATAATATAATATAACTGAAAATTTACGACAAATGCTGACTACTGATCTACTGCTTTTACTGTATTTATAGAACAATATTTTTTTTGTCTTGGAGTGTTTATATTGGAATACACTACCATTCAAAATTTTAATTTTTGTTTTTGAAGGAAATCTTTTATGTTCACCTCATGTTGTATTTATTTGCTCAAACATACAGTAAAACTAAAAATGACAGTGAGATCAGTGAGATATTACTAATTTAAAATAACTGTTTTCAGCATCATTATTCCTGTCTTCAGTGTCACATGATCCTTCAGAAATAATTCTAGTATGATGATTTGATGCACAAGAAACATTTCTTATTATCAGTTTTGAAAACAGTTGTGCTGTTTCATATTTTTGTAAAAACTGTGATACATTTTTTGCAAGATTGAAAGCACTTATGTGAAATAGAGATCTTTTTAACATAAAAATAACATATAAACATATCTACGGTCACTTTTAAATCAATTTAATGCATTCTTGCTGAATAAAATGGTTAATCTCTGTAAAAAAGAAAAAAAAAAACACACACACACAAATCTCTGGTGTTCACTTTAGATACATTTTTTTTTTTTAAGTGTTATTATTTGTTTGGATTTTTTACATATTCCTAAATGGTTCATAGTACTGTTTTTGCAATTAGGTTCAGATTATTTTACACTGAATATTTTAATTCAACATACTGAAATGATCAGCTAATTAGTCAGTATCCATTATCAGTCAACAACTAGTCTCTTATCAAGCTTAAATTTCTGTTGTTGGAAACTAAAAGATACAAACCTTTGTTGGAGGCACAAGCAAAATGGGGTTCACCACCAGGACCTCATAGTATTTTTTGCAAGGATCATCTTGAAGAGTCCATGTCCGTCTGTACCACTCTAAAAAAAAAAAAAACAAGCAGTAACAACACTTCATCGCTAAATCATTATATGTCATTATTTACTCATCTTCATGTCATCTAAAATCCATAGGCTCTTCAGTGGAAAAACAAAAGCAGAATTATAAATTATCTTTACTATCTTTTGCTTAATTTTACTTTTATCTTAGTGCATTTTTGTTCTTTTTGGAGCTTAAAAAGATCTGAAGATTCCTCAAAATTCTAAATTCATGTTCCACATCAAATGAGTTTGGAATGACATACAGGTGAATAAATAACATTAATCACCTTACCTGATAAACTGTCCTTCCAGTCCAGTTGTTTCAGCCCAGTGCATTTGCCATTGAAGCTCTCCACCTCCACAATGTTCTTCTTGTGTTCTGCAAAGGAAACCTAGCCATGGAGAAATATTTAAACCAATTTAACTCTTCATTGTACAATACAGTGAACACACCTTTCAACTCTTAATTGTTATCTATTCAGTACTGCTTTAGCTAAACAGTCTTGGACAGTCAACAGCACAAGAATAATTACCATATAAAGATGGAACCAGTTCCAGATCAAGCTAATAAAAAAGCAAACAACAAACATTCTCCTGAACTGGATCTATTCAGTACTGCTTTAGCTAAACAGTCTTGGACAGTCAACAGCACAAGAATAATTACCATATAAAGATGGAACCAGTTCCAGATCAAGCTAATAAAAAAGCAAACAGCAAACATTCTCCTGAACTGGACAAACCAGCAGACCACAGACCAGAGCTCAGTGCTGATTATGGCTACGACAATCAGAACAATCAAAGAAACCTGTAGAACAAAAAACAGCACATATTGCATTTATTATTTCTGAGATTGCTGCAAAACATCAGTCTTTTGAAAATAATTTTAATGCAATTATTTAAATTATCTTTGAATGCTTTTACAAGAACTGACCTTCAGGGCGGTATCAGCATCTACATAAATGTATCTTCGAAACGCCACTTCCAGGCTTCGTGGTCGTGGAGTTTGAATCTGAGCAGAATTTGACTGAGAGCCTCATCCATGGCTCCAGTGGTCCAGTCGTTCTCTTCATTCAAAAGCTTCTGGATCTCCACCAGCGACTGCTTGGACAGCTTCACCTCAGCGTCATATGCATGGATGTCTGTCCATCATCAGGCTAAAGATTAAAAAAAGGAAAAGTTGTAAAACTGTAACCAATGTAGATTCATGTTGAATCAGTTCCCTGGAGAAAACACAGTCAGTCACATACCAGGCCAAGTTTTGAAGTTTCTTTAAGGAGCCTGGAAAGGAATCGCTTGAATACTGGAAGACACACTGGATTTATAGAGGTGGTGGTCTCCTTCTTTTTCTGTTCATCAAACTAAAAAAAGATATAGCAATAATATAATATAACAATATGGATATAATTATACAATACATAGTTTCAATAATTCAAAGTGCTAAATGGTACAATACTAGTCTTCAGGACTTTACCAATTACCATGGAAATTACCATTGTACCATGTCCAAAAAAACATGCCACTATCATTTTGTTATTGCGGTCTACTAAACACAGGTGTATTTACATATTCTTCACCTCTTTCTGCAAACTCTCTAGTTTATTGATCCACTCAAATGCATCAGGACACTGTTGCACGGTCTGAAAAATAAAGAAGGTCATATGGCATTAGAACAACAAGGTGAGGAAACAGTGGCTGAATTTTCAATTTCAGAGGAACTATCCCTTTAAATTTCATTTAAACTACAACGTTAGTAAAAACCTAAAATACCTAGATATAATTTACAATGCAAAGTCTGAATGGAGTCTATTTTCAATGGAAAAAAATTTAAAGAAGAGGGATTTAAATGTCCTGCAAGCACTGTAATGCATTAATAAACTGCCCGATGGTATAATAATGTTTTACCATTGCTGGTTTTCTCAAGCACTTTGTCGTTGAGTCATAGTTGATCAAGTCATATGGATCAATCCATGCATCATCCTCATCATCCTGGTGGATATTTGCATTTGCAATAACAAACAAACTACAAAAAATGAGCAAACTCCAGAAACCAAACGATGAACAGATTGACACCTTCATAATCTCCACTGGAACAGAAGAGAAAACAAACTTGTTGGTAAAACAACTACTGGTCGATTGGTATAAATGTATATAAAGTTCAGAATCAGCTTTTGTAGAAACACATTGATGGCTAAACATTTCCCGTGATGGAAGAGAGTTGCCATATATTGCCACAATACTGTCACCTATTGATTCATAAACCGCAAATATTCAAAATCCGGTTACTCAAACAAAACTTGAACTCTTGGAGTCTATATATATATATATATATATATAATAGTCAACATTTGAAGTGGATCATAAAAGTTAATCAAAGTTGTCCTAAGACAAGAATGGGTATTGTTTTGGTTTTAGGACAACTTTGATGAAAGGTTTTGATCCACTTCAAATGTTGACTACTGTATACATATATATACACATATATGCATACATACATACATACATACATACAGGTATATATATGTATGTATGTATGTATATACATACATACATACATATTTATATAGATAGATAGATAGATAGATAGATACACTACCAGTCAAACGTTTTTGAACAGTAAGATTTATAATGTTTTTTACAGAATTCTCTTCTGCTCACCAAGTCTGCATTTATTTGATCCAAAATACAGCAAAAGCAGTAATACTGTGAACTATTTTTACTATTTAAAATAACTGCTTTCTGTTTGAATATATTTTAAAATGTAATTTATTCCTGTGATTTCAAAGCTATTATAGACATTAATACTTTTATTTAGCAAGGATGCTTTAAATTGATCATGATAAAGAAACTTATAACGTTACAAAAGATTTCTATTATCTTCTGAACTTTCTATTCATCAAAGAAACCTGAAAAAATTCTACTAAGCTGTTTTCAACATCATAATAAATGTTTTTGAGCAGCAAATCAGCATATTAGAATGATCATGTGACACTGAAGACTGGAACAATGATGCTAAAAATTCAGCTTTGAAATCACAGGAATAAATTACATTTTAAAATATATTCAAATAGAAAGCAGTTATTTTAAATAGTAAAATTTTTTCACAATATTACTGTAATGTGGGATGCGTGACAACGGCATTGAAGATCCAAGTGCAGGCTTTATTACAAGAATGGTCAAAACAGGCAGGGTCAAACAGCAGTAAACAGGTATAATCCAGGGCAGACAAAAGAGTAATCCAATAAATGAGCAATGGTCAGGACAGGCAGCAAACGATCAGAAAACAAGGAACAGTCCAGGGTCAAAACAAGGCAAGGCAACAAGGAACTAGAAACACTGGAGACACGGGAACGCTACAGGCTAACAATACTGAGCAATGAGTGTGAGTAAAACCATGCTTTAACCCTTTAAGCCCTGAGGGCATTTTTGCCTCCCTGAAGTTGATGTTTTTTCTGAGTGACACACAAAAATAATGACTCATAACTCGAAGACTGTAGCAAGGAGAGTCAAAAGGTTGGTATCGTTTGATAGAAAACTTTCTGTACTTTCAGTGGAAAAACAATTATTTCATTTGGACATTCTCCTGCTGAGAAATAGCTGATAAAAATGTAAGAAAAATTTTAGTGCTCAAGATAAATTTTTCATATCTGTCTTATTTGACATTCAATATCTAAGGTAGGAGGAAAATTACTTTTTGATGATGTTCCCCAGCATGTTAGCTGTATTTGTTGGTGATAGCATATTTGGTGATAGCATAAAGTATCCAAAAGTTACAGTATTTTGTAACAAAACAGGCCTTTTTGTTTAGCTCTTGACTCCCTGAAGGAATTTTAAAAACTGTTGTTTTCTGAGTGCCATACACAAAAATAATGACTCATAACTCCAAGACCATAGCAAGGAGAGTCAAAAGGTAGGTATCGTCTGATAGAAATTTTTCTATATTTTTATGGGGAAAAAAATCTTTGCATTTGAATATTCTCATGCTGAGAAATAGGTGATCAAATGTAAGAAAAATTAGTGTGGTCAAGGGAAATTTTTCATATTCTTATTTGACGTTCAATATCTCATGAAAGAAATAAGGTAGGAGAAAAATTTTTTTTTGGTGATGTTTCCCTACATGTGTGCTATATGTGAATTACATTTTTTGGTGATATCATGAGGTAATCAAAAGTTACAGCATTTGGAACCAAGGTAGCCCTTCTCTTAGCCCTTTACAGTTTTGAAATTGTTGTTTTGAATCTGAAGTAATGCCTCACTCAAGTTTAGTCAAAGCCCCAAACAATTATACTTGTTTTATTCTACTCGATGAGACCTTTCAAATAACATATGACACATGACTATCTGAGCTGTATGATGTTTCTGACATATTAGAGTACATGGCACAAAAACATGGCTGTTTTTCTTTGGAGCGCCTCAGTGCACCTGTCTGCTTTCATGTGTTACAGCTCTATGAACGAAATCTTTCGATCTGATCGAAAGTCTGATCGTTTTTCGAGATCTATGCATGTTTGGTGAAGTTACGAACTAAAACGCCACAGAACTGCAACCTCTGATTTTTTTGCTAAGCTACATGACCTAATTCTTTTCTATGTGTTATAGCTTTATGAGAGATATTTTTATATCTGAGCGATGGATTGAGTGAGTTTGGGCTCTTTTTAATCGGGAGAATTTTCTGCAAATAATGACGTGTCCTTTTCTATGATATATGCATGTTTCAATCTGCTCTAAATAATGGTGATCTGATCATGTTTTATGAAGTTACAAGTAAAATGGTGACATCAATATATTATTTTCATATGGGTCTGGGGGTGACTTCTTGTACAAAAACTCGCTCCAGTTTATTCAAAGCCCCAAACAATTATGCTTGTTTTATTCTACTCGATGAGACCTTTCAAATGACATATGACACACGACTATCCGAGCTGTATGATGTTTTTGACATATTAGAGTACATGGCACAAAAAACATATTTTGTAAATTATGATTTTTTTATCAGCAAATAACTCAAGTTAATAAAAGTGGCTACATGCATTGTAAAGCTCAGACTCTGAGCTTTCAAATGATATCCATTTTTTGTTGGGCAGTGGTTTGAAAAATATGATTAGTGATATTGTAGTGGAGGGGGGGGCGTCCCACCCGCGGTACACTTAGGTTTAGAGGGACTGCTTAGCGCTCCTTAAGAGTTGATCAAAATAATTACATTCTAAGCTTTAAAATGATACCCATTTTGTGTAATAAATGTAAGAAAAATTAGTGTGGTCAAGGGAAATTTTTCATATTCTTATTTGACGTTCAATATCTCATGAAAGAAATAAGGTAGGAGAAAAATTTTTTTTTGGTGATGTTTCCCTACATGTGTGCTATATGTGAATTACATTTTTTGGTGATATCATGAGGTAATCAAAAGTTACAGCATTTGGAACCAAGGTAGCCCTTCTCTTAGCCCTTTACAGTTTTGAAATTGTTGTTTTGAATTTGAAGTAATGCCTCACTCAAGTTTAGTCAAAGCCCCAAACAATTATACTTGTTTTATTCTACTCGATGAGACCTTTCAAATAACATATGACACATGACTATCTGAGCTGTATGATGTTTCTGACATATTAGAGTACATGGCACAAAAACATGGCTGTTTTTCTTTGGAGCGCCTCAGTGCACCTGTCTGCTTTCATGTGTTACAGCTCTATGAACGAAATCTTTCGATCTGATCGAAAGTCTGATCGTTTTTCGAGATCTATGCATGTTTGGTGAAGTTACGAACTAAAACGCCACAGAACTGCAACCTCTGATTTTTTTGCTAAGCTACATGACCTAATTCTTTTCTATGTGTTATAGCTTTATGAGAGATATTTTTATATCTGAGCGATGGATTGAGTGAGTTTGGGCTCTTTTTAATCGGGAGAATTTTCTGCAAATAATGACGTGTCCTTTTCTATGATATATGCATGTTTCAATCTGCTCTAAATAATGGTGATCTGATCATGTTTTATGAAGTTACAAGTAAAATGGTGACATCAATATATTATTTTCATATGGATCTGGGGGTGACTTCTTGTACAAAAACTCGCTCCAGTTTATTCAAAGCCCCAAACAATTATGCTTGTTTTATTCTACTCGATGAGACCTTTCAAATGACATATGACACACGACTATCCGAGCTGTATGATGTTTTTGACATATTAGAGTACATGGCACAAAAAACATATTTTGTAAATTATGATTTTTTTATCAGCAAATAACTCAAGTTAATAAAAGTGGCTACATGCATTGTAAAGCTCAGACTCTGAGCTTTCAAATGATATCCATTTTTTGTTGGGCAGTGGTTTGAAAAATATGATTAGTGATATTGTAGTGGAGGGGGGGGCGTCCCACCCGCGGTACACTTAGGTTTAGAGGGACTGCTTAGCGCTCCTTAAGAGTTGATCAAAATAATTACATTCTAAGCTTTAAAATGATACCCATTTTGTGTAATTCCATTCAGGGGTTGCTTAGTAATTTGATTTTGAATTTTTTCGTGCAGGTGGGACACCTAGGGTTTAAAGGGTTAAATAGGGTGAGACTGATGAGCAAACAAGACAGGTGAATGCAATCAGAGATGATGAGTCCGGCAAAGGTTTATGGGAAATGTAGTCTGGAATAGAGTGGCAAGAGTCAGAGGTGGAGTGCCCTCTAGTGGAGTTCATAGACACTCCAGCTGGAGATCGTGACAATTACTGCTTTTGCTGTATTTTGGATCAAATAAATGCAGGCTTGGTGAGCAGAAGAGACTTCTTTCAAAAACATCAAAAACTTTTGACTGGTAGTCATTAGGAAAAACAATTTATATGTGAATAAAAACTATCAACAGCGCTAACAGTGTAGACATATTGTGCTGTTTAAAATTTCTTTGTAAAAAAAATACAGAACTTTCAATTCTGCATTGTTTTGTATTTAAAAAAAACAACTCGACTTGTGAATTTATACAGATTTGTCATGCAAAATAATTCTACATAATTATATTTCAATAAAACCTTTGTCTAACTTACCGTGACATGTAAACCTTGACGCCCTGGCAACTACCTATCAAATAAAAGGTTGGTTGTTGATG